CTTAAGTAAAAAAAAATCCCCTTGTTATTTCTTTTGTTTTTAATTTATGATTTAGAAAAAATTTCTCTCTAATGTCATCTTTAACAAATATTCAAACAGAAAATCCTGATCGCTTGATTTCTATATTACACAATTTTGTCAACAGAAGAAGTGGAGCTTTAAAAAAAATGAATATTTTTGTTTATTTTTAAAGGCCAGTCATAATGAAGACCCTGAAATAACGCTTCAGGTAGTTTCATGTGCTTCATGCTGATGATATTCCCCAAAGCTTCCCAGTCCTATGGCTCTTCTCTTGCTATTAAAATGTCCTAATCATGGGTTGGCATTGTAGCTCAGTAGGTAAAGCCATCACCTTCAAATACCAGCATCCTATAAGGATAGCAGTTTGACTCCTGGCTGTTCCACTTCTGATCCAGCTCCCTGATAATGCTCCTGGGAAAGAAGCAGAGGGCAGCCCAAGTACTTGGGCCCCTGCATTCATGTGAGAGACCAGGAAGAAGCTACTGGCTCCTGGCTTTGACCTAGCTCAGCCTCAGCCATTGCAACAATTTGGAGAGTAAACGAGCAGATAGAAGATCAATCTCTCTTTCTTTCTCTCTGCCCCTCTCTCTATAAGTCTGTTTTTCAAATAAACAAAATAAATCTTTTAAAAAATTTTCCCCCAGTATGCATAGCTTTAGAAACTATTTTTATGCTCACAATATCTCAAGTGAAAACTCAAAATGTAAATGTGTATAAAATCATAAACACCACTGAAGTGGATTTTTCCTTCATTATATATTCTTTATTTCTAAGATTTCTACATTAAAATGTATTACTTTTATAATTGGGGAGATCCTGTAATTTAAAAAATGTATTTAGAATGCAATTTTCAATAATGAAATATGTCAACAAACACAGAACTATCCAATTTTTCTACTTTGAATTTGTTCCCAGTCACTTGAAACCAAAGGTAGCTAGTGATTGAATACCAAAAAAAAGCCATTTGTATGACAAAAACAAAAATAAAGAAAGAATTAAATGGTGAATATTAAACCTCCAAACTCATATCTCCATTCATCACAAAAATGATGAATCTCTATTCATGACCCAAAACGTACTTTTAAAAGATAATTAGAAAAGTCACAATGATAAATTAACACTTACTTACTCAATGAACAATAATAAAACCAAAAAGATTATGAACTGGAATCGATCAATGGAAACACATGAAAACAAACATATTCCATTCCAAAGGTTTGTTTTATTTCTTTCTTATAACTACAAAAACTAAAAAGACAATGTAAAAATCATTCATTTATTCAAACAAAATACTGGTTGAAGAAATAATTACAGGTGGTGGGAAAACTGTCAGGTTGATATTAGATATTCACATATGACTATAATTACAAAAATTGTTATTTTTTCCATGATAGAAACACATTAAACTAAGATAGGATGAGCACTTAAAATAGAAATAGACACAGTAAGAAAAGTCATGGAATGAATAATGAAATCCCAATATGCTTTATGAGCCATTTACTTAGTCATTCTATATGCATTTACTGAGCATCTACTCTGTGAGAGATGCAAAACAGATTGAGACATTTTGTATGGGAGTGATCTTCATTACTTAATTTCAGTGCTAACAAAAATAGCTATCGGTTTCACTGTTTCTTTGTTCCACTAGGTGAGCTTTTTGGGGCTCCAGCATTGTTTTGTGTATCTCAGTGCCTTCTCTTAGTGTAAATATATTTCAACTAAACTGTTGGCCAAAAAGATACCTGGAAGAAGATGCTAATGGCTATCCTAGGCAAAGCACAAATAAATTCTGATGTTTATCCCCAGAAAAGAAGTATTTCATCACTTGGGGTTGGGGGAGTGAAATGTGCTGAGCTAGAGGATTCGCGGGATTTGAACAAGGAGGCAGAGCAGTTTACCATCTCTAACAAAGTTTATGTAGCTTTCTATCCTGCTATGTACACACAGATTACTTGTTCAAGTCCTATCACAAGTTTCAATCTTATTCTCCTTTCTCTCAGGCAGTTTTTGAGGTGTTTAGTCCTGGTCTTAGAACAATGTGCCCTTCTGGGAATACAGGAAGGAAAGGGATATTTCGGAAGCCCTACAAGCTCCATTTTCCATGGCAAAAGGAAGTTGCAACTGCATGGCCATCTCTACAGACTTCTGTAGAGGGAGCCAAGACTGCTCTTTGCTCATTGACCCCCAGGTTGAGGTCAGTCCTTTAATATGGTGACACTGTCAACCCAGCTGAAAGCTGACAAGAATATACAAATCAGAAATGCAAATGGGGGCTATGCTAGTTTAAGGGAAAAAGTCACAGATGCAACATTTTCTTTGCTTCCTGCTCTGAAAATCTGAAGAAGTTTCTAGAACTGTTCATAAGAACATGTTTCTTTTTCGGTACACGCCAGCCAAAAAATGTGGATAATAGAAAACTTGAGAGCCACTATATAAATTAATTAGTTTTTGTTTGGTATCTATTAGGTTCCTAGCAATAGGAAGAACTGTGGGTACTGGAAATGACGTTAAAGAGCAACTTTTCTTTTTATAAATTACAATATAATTTACAGTACTGAAAAATAAGACATATCAGGAAAACTTTTAAGAATCAGCCTGGTCTACTGATAGAAGTCGGTTCTGCTTTGATGCCCTGCTCTGTGACTAGCCATGTGAATTTGAGCAAGTCACTTCACATCTTTGCATCTCAGCCTGTATGTCTAAAAAATAAGGAGTGGATCCTAGGAATCAGTTGCTCCTCAAATAAGCTTAGAGACATTAGATAAGTATCCTCTTCTGTTACTTTAGATACTCTCCTGAACATAACAAAAGTATAAAGGGAAAAAATGAGAATGAGCTATTCTTAATCAAAACTATTGGTTTTTAAAGAAATCTCTACCCTAACTCCTAACATAAAAAATGAAGAATTGGGGCCAGAATGGTGGCACAATGCTTTAACCCACTGCTTGTGACACCAACATTCCATATCGGAGGGCTGATTAGAGTCCTGGCTGGTCCACTTCCAATCCAGATTCACACAGATGCACATGAGAAGACAAGGGTACACAGCCCAAGTAGTTGGACTCCAGCCACTCACGTGTGAGACCAGGATGGAGTTTCTGGCCCCCTGGCTCCTGGTTTCAGCCTGGCTGTTGTGGCCATTTAAGGAGTGAGCCAGTAGATGGAAGACCTCTCTTTCTGTCTTTGTCTCTTTGTCATTATGCCTTTTAAATAAATAAATAAACATATCTTTTTAAAAAAATGATGAAATTGAGACACAGAAATGTAAATATAGTGGCATAAGAATACAGCCAGTGGTATCTCTGGGCCTCTTGATCCCGTTTTCTTTTATTTTTTTTTGTTTTATTTATTATTATTTATGTATTTGAGAGAGAGAGGTTGAGAGAGCCACAAGCACACACACATACACACACACACACAGAGAGAGAGAGAGAGAGAAGGAGAGAATATCTCACCTACTGGTTCACTTTCCAAATGCCTGTAATGGTTGACAGTAGGCCAGGGCCAAAATCAGGAGCCTAGAACTCAAAGTCTTCCATGTGAGTAACAGGAACCCAATTGCTAGAGCCACCACCATTGCCTCTCTGCATCTATATTAGCAGGAAGCTGGAGTCAGTAGTCAGAACTAGGAATCAAACCCAGGACTTCAATGTGGGATCCAGATGTCTTAATACTAGTCTAAATACCTTCTCCTCTTGCATCGATTTCATTTTTTAAGGAGCTATTTTATTTATTTGAAAGGAAGAATTACTGAGAGAGGAAGTGACAGGGAAAGATAGAGAGAAAGAATGATCTTCTATCCTCTGGAAAGCCAGGAGCCAGGAACCTTATCTGGGTCTCCCACATGGGTGCAGGGGCCTAAGGACATGGGCCATCTTCCACTGCTTTCGAAGGTACATTAGCAAGGAGCTGGATTGGAAGTGGAGCAGCTGGGACTGGAACCAGTGCCCATGTGGGATGCTGGCATTACAGTTTGTGGCTTAACCTGTTACGCCACAATGCCAGCTCCCTGCATCTAGTTCTAATTAAAATATTTTCTAGTCCACCTAAATATATAGTTTTATCTTCATCATTGATTTTTTCTTTCTCCTCTCATCTCTTTGATATTTAACTAGTTATTAAAAACTCAAAAAGCATAAAAAGTAGGGCAGAGTTCAATAATATTTCAGGGAACAGAAGTCATATTTAAATAGTACCTTTCCATCACCCCTTCTTACCTAGCAGACTTATCATCATTTAGACAAAAAAAAAAAAAGACTACAGTTGAGAAGAAAACTGTTATAGTAGAAACTTGGATGTTAATAACATGTCAATTATCTTGGGGGAGAGAGGGCTATGAATAAAGATGTTTTGAAACTATTCTATTCATTCCTACATAAAGAAACATGATTTGTTGAAGGTAGTTATTTGGCACAAAATCTGTATTACAAATACATTTTGGGGAACAATAATCAAATCAGTAACACAATTTAGCTTGCAGTGTTCCCTCAATCCTTTTGGAACAAGAACTATAAATAGGACTTCCAGTCTATTCAAGTCCATAATGCTATAATTCTTGTACATGAATGGCCTGGAAATTTGCCAGACCTTCTAAAACATGTCCTTTCTGTGAACCTGTTTAGCAACGTCTCAACAAGCAAAAAAGCCAGTTGATATGATGTGAGGATTTTAATATCATAAGAGAGACTTGGCACACAAAGAACATATCCTTTTTAATGCTACAAAATCTTCCCTATCATAGGAGGAATTGCTAAACTTTAGGGAAAAACATTTTACATAACCACCTGTCCTTTGAAGGACTTGCTTTATTTTTTTTTTTTAGGTCAGAAAACTTCCTGATAAGGACAAACCTTGCTTTACATTCCACCTGGTAGCTGAAACTAAGGTAGTAAAGAACCATAGAAAACAGTGTTTATTAAAATTATGGGAAACGGAAAACTCACTTAAATAAGAATATCTGGGGGGGGCGGATTTCTCACCTCTTCCTCTGCAGGAGGGTTAATGTGTCTTTGATGGCGAGATGGATTCCAACATTCTGATGTCACTCTCTTTTGCATAAGGAAAGGAAAAGAAGACAAACAAGACAACCGATGTTAACATTTTACACAAAGGAAAGCTCCCAAAATAATTAGGAAGGGAATCATTGTCTATCTGTTGTCTCAATTATACTAATTATCCTTTATCAAAATACTCATAGAAGGATGAGTGTTTCATCAGTGGTTTCATTTGCATATGCATACATACAAAGACGAATACAGAATATTTGAGCCTAAATATATAATGTGGTTACTTACATATATGTGTATTTATACATACATGGAAACAGATAAACATATGTACATACATGGCATGTGAATATATATACATTAGAATCACTCCTGATGCCTCACTTACTACAATCTCAAGCCATGGTCTAACATCCAGAAGAGGGTTGGTGTACAAAGAGTTTGAATCAGGAAATGGTTTTATGAAGCAGTCCACTATGTAATCTCTTGGTGTTCTACAGTATTGGGTATATAACACACATCCACTTTTGGAAATCTTACATTGTTTAAATTCAAACCAAATACACATTTGGAATATTCTGAGTCACAGTGATGTGGTAATGATTAGACAGATCGTGAGCTGGAAGCCCCACCTCCTTCGTTTTGTGTTGTCATGTTCATCTATATGTCAATCAGAGGACCCATCCCTGAGAAGTACCTCCTCTTACCTGGGACATGGAGGTGGTACCACATAAACACTTCCATTTTTTTTAAGCACATGAAAAGCTAGGGAGAATAGAAGCTCTCTCCTCCATGTGGACTCATTCTTTGGCCCCATTCTCCCTAAATAAAGCCCTAATGGGTCTGTGAATTTTCCTCACTTTGTAAATAAAGTTTATCATACTGCATCCCATGTTTGGGCCTATATTTAGAATTCTTCCATATGCAAAAGGCGAGAACCTGGAAAATTAGTTTAGGCCCTAACCCACCCAGCCCATAACAACAGCATTTTTTAATTATATTTTGTACTTGTCAGTGTAAGGTTCTTACTGTATGATTCTTGCTGTCAGCTTCCACTTCTTTTGAAAAATTCACATACATGGTATCAAACACAGTTTCTACTTAGGGCAGCTCTAAAAGGTAGCAAAGGATATGTGATAGAGTTTACGGTAAGAGACGAGGGTACTTTAGCCTGACTGTTGGGGACCAATCTAAATTTACTTGTTGGAATTGAATTCATAGTCTAATCATATTATGAAGTGAGGTTTTGGGGGAACATGACTATGTCATGAGGCCTCTACTCTCCTGAATGGAGCCTCTTATAACACATGTGGAGCCGGCGCCGTGGCTCAATAGGCTAATCCTCCGCCTTGCGGCGCCGGCACACCGGGTTCTAGTCCCGGTCGGGGCGCCGGATTCTGTCCCGGTTGCCCCTCTTCCAGGCCAGCCCTCTGCTGTGGCCAGGGAGTGCAGTGGAGGATGGCCCAGGTGCTTGGGCCCTGCACCCCATGGGAGACCAGGAAAAGCACCTGGCTCCTGGCTCCTGCCATCGGATCAGCGCGGTGCGCCGGCTGCAGCGGCGGCCATTGGAGGGTGAACCAACGGCAAAAGGAAGACCTTTCTCTCTCTGTCTCTCTCTCTCACTGTCCACTCTGCCTGTCAAAAAAAAAAAAAAAAAAAAAAAAAAAAAAAAAAAAACCACATGTGGATGTATTGAGATGGTTCCATATTTTTTTTTTTTTGGTTAAAAATTTACTTATTTATTTAATTGAAAGGAAGAGTTATAGAGAAGCAGAGGCAGGGAGAGAGGTCTTCCATCCACTGGTTCTCTCCCCAGATGGCCACAAAGACCAGAGCTGCGCCAATCAGAAGTCAGGAGTCAGGAGCTTCTTCCAGGTCTCCTACATGGGTGCAGGGGCCCAGGGATTTGGGCCATCTTCCAGTGCTTTCTCAGGCCACAGCAGACAGCTGGATTGGAAGTGGAGCAGGATTGGAAGTGAAGCAGCTGGGACTCGAACCATCTCTCATATGGGATGCAGGAGGAGGCTTTACCCGATACACCACAGCGCCACCCCGGCTCCACCTTTGAAGTAAAGAAGCAAGCCCTAACCAGACACCAAATCTGCTGGTGTCTTGATCTTGGCCCTAGCTTCCAGAACCATAAGCAATATAGTTCTGTCATTTGTAAATTAAGGCAGATGAAGATATTTTGTTGCAGCAGCCTGAATGTACTAACATGAAGATTTCAAATCTTACCTGAGAGGGTGTCTACAACCATTTAAAGGGAATTCAGAGAGGGGAAGACAGGAATGTTCACTGAACATCTAAGGACTAGACTACTCCACGCAGGGCTTCATTTCGTGTTTATCACAGTTAGAAGGTTTTTTTTTTATCACCATTTCACAGCTCAGAAAATTGTAGCACAGCGAGTGTAAGCAAAAAGTCCAAAGTCATACAAAGATAATGCAAATTCGGTGACTATAAAGTCCAGATCCAAGCATAAGTCTTAAGTTCTAGCCCACAAACTGCAAACAAGGAACAAGAAGCCAGAAACAAACAAACAAACAAAATGATGGAGTAATTGAAGTGAATAAAGCAAATGCTATGGATGCAGTTTTCTCTGGTCACTGGTTGTAACCTGTGGCTTCTTGCAGAGCTGGGCCTACACCACTGGGATTGTTTTTAAGGATAACACTTCATACCTGGTGATAGGCACAGTGAAAGGTACCAGAATATGTGTACCAGCTCTTGGCTGAATTCATTTTTAAAATGAATAACGATAGTCCTAAAGAACACCAAGAATAATTCTTCTTAACCTTTTAAAGTGACCAAAAGGGAAAATACTCATTTTTGGAATTGGAATTTGATAAGAAGACATAGTTCATTCATAAAATTCCTTTGTTAAAATGAGGTATTTCCTCCTCCTTGAAAACAAGTTAAGGGGCTGGAGCTGTGGCATAGCAGGTAAAGCTGCTGCCTGCGGTGCTGGGATCCCATATGGGCACCGGTTCAAGTTCTGCCTGTTCCACCTCTGATCCAGCTCTCTGCTATGGCCTGGGTTAGCAGTAGAAGATGGCTCAAGTGCTTGGGCCCCTCCACCCATGTGGGGGACCCAGAAGAAGTTCCTGGCTCCTGGCTTCGGATCAGCGCAGTTCTAGCCATTGCGGACAATTGGGGAGTGAACCAGTGGATGGAAGACCTCTCTCTCCCTTCTCTTTCTCTGCATCTGTAACTATGCCTTTCAAATAAATAAAAAAAAAAAAACTTTTAAAAAAAGAAAAGTTAAAATGGAGCATTGTTTAAATTCATTTCTTTGTTTTTCAAGAGAAAGTGGATTTATTATACATTTCAGCATAACTTTGGACATCAATTTGAGGAATCTAGTGTATTTTTTACTCCATTTCACCAGAAACAAAAGATGTGGATTTGGTATGAATCTATTTTGGGTTCCTTTAACAGCAACTAAAGCCACTCTTTAAAATCTACTGCTTTTGTTTGCTTCTTTTTGAGAGGCAGAAAGACAGAGAGAGCTCTCATCTGCAAGTTCACTCCTCAGATGCCCATAATCTAGGAACCAAGAATTCAATCCAGCTCTCCCACATGGGTGGCGTGGACCCAGCCACTTTGGCCATCACCCATTGCATCCTAAGGTGCACATCACCAGCAGGAACAAGGGCAGAACCAGGTCTCCAAGCTCAGCACTATGGTGTGGGAAGCAAGTGTCTCAACTGCACCAACTGCCCACCCAGAAATCTTCTACTCCTCAAGAGAAGAGTAAAAAATATAATCCCCTATTCTATCTGTAAAATGAGTTGTAATCACAGCACCAGCACTGGGACATGGTGGATTAAGCTGCAGCCTGCAATGCCAGCATCTTGTATGAGCGCCAGTTCAAGCGCTGGCTGTCCCACTTATGATCGAACTCCCTGCTATTGTGCCTGGGAAATGAGTGGAAGATGGCCCAAGGGTGTGGGCCCCTGCCATCCACATGGGAGACCCAGATGGAGTCCCAGGCTCCTGGCATCAGCCTGGCCCAGCCTTGCTGTTGCAGCCATTTGGGAGTGAACCAGTAGACAGAAGATCTCTTTCTCTCTCTCCCCCTCACTCTCTGTAACTCTGCCTTTCAAATAAACAAATAAATCATAAAGAAAGAAAACGATTTATAATATTGCTCTTGGAAAACATCTCCATCTTTATCCTCAAGATATTAGTAGTTATCTCTGGTGGTTTTAAAATATGTTTACAAATTCTTCTATACAATTCAAGAGCTGCACAAAGCTAGACTGAGTCACTTGTTGCTAACAAGTAGAATAAGATGGAATTGATGGTGTTTGACTTCTGAGGTGGGTTTTCAAAGGACATTATTTTCTCCCCTGGCTCTGGGTCTTGGATCACTCACTCTGGGGGGAATAAATGCTATGTAATAAGGACCCCCAAACAGCCCCACGGACGCCAGTATTGCAAGGACCAGTGCCTCCGATCAACCCTACCAAGGCACTGAAGCCTCCAGCCTACTGTCATGACTGGCAGTTGAAAAGAAATTCTCTAGCCCTAGTTAAAACTGTAGATGACATCTTGATTGTAATCACACAAGACTCTGAACTAGAAATACCAATCCCATACTCCCGAACTAACAAAACCGTTAGGTAATATATTTTAGTTTTTTAAGCCTCTACATTTCCAGGTAATTTGCTGTGCATCAATAGATACTTAATATAATAGAGTTATATAATGGATAAGAAATAACATGAAATAAGAAACATGGACCAACACACAATATTGGGGCCAGTGTGGCATAGTGGGTAAAGCCATTGCCTGCAATGCAGGCATCCCATATGGATGCCAGTTCCTTTCTTGGCTGCTCCACTTCTGTTGCAGCTCTCTGCTCATGGCCTGGAAAAACAGCAGAAGATGTCCCAAGTTTTAGGGGCCCTGCCATCCATGCGGAAGACCTGGATGAAGCTCCTGGCTCCTGGCTTAGGTCTGGCCCAGGTCTGACCATTGTTGTCACCTGGGGAGTGAATCAGTGAATGTCTCTCCGTCTCTCTAACTCTGACTTTAAAACAAACAAATAAAACTTTATAAGAGACAGCGGGCTCAATGCATGCTTTTTTTTAAAAAAATACACAGTATCTATTGCATGACAATTTTATCATACCTAAACTATCCTTGGTTTGACTCTAGCAGGCACTATGTGAACAATCTGTCATTTTGGCCTTTTCTTCTTTTCTGCATGATGGATTGTTCACATCTCGGTTTAGAGCCATCTCAAATTTGTCTGATGAAACCCAGTGAGGGGCTTGCCTTTTCTGCTTGTTAACGGGATCCCAGTACAACCTCAGTGACCCAGTTTCATGACCTCAGTTAAGCTCACAAAAAAAGCAGTACGACTTCGGTCCATGTTACACACCATTTCTCGACCATGGTGTGCTGCATCGGATACAGCTTTAAGTCTGCAAATACCTAACAGTCCCTACATACGTATTTTTAATTAAATCCTCAGCAAGCCTTTTTCTCCCTTAAGAAGCTCAGGGAAGAAATGTTTTATTTCAGTCCCGGGTAGGGGTGCTTGACAATGCTCAATATCCCAGCCCTGGACGTAATAGATGTGATCGCTTTTTTCTATCATGAATATGAATGCTGCTCTGAAGCCTGAATGTAGCTGGAGAATTTACGTGAGAAATGAGGCATACAACATTTCTGAAAATATATTAGCCTAAAGTCCGTATTCCTGCATACTTTAGACCTTTTCCAACAAGCTACAAAATATTTGAGCCGTCAAATGAATGCTTCCAGAGAAGAACAAACAAGAACAAAGTCTCAAAAATAAGGGCTGGGAGTCAGGTGTTGACAAGATGTTCTTCGTAGTCGGTGTAGTGTTCACAGGAGTAATTGACTGCTCTCGCTCCAAAGCCTCCCCAGCAGTACCGCTCCTGCACGCCTGGTTCTCCAGCAGGGTTATCCCAGGCCAACTTGGAAGAAACAGGCGGGGAGCTCAGTCAGTACTGAAGAAAGTATTCTGCGAACATCCCCCTGCACCTGCCACTTGATTCCTCCGAGACTAAGGGCTTCCTTATCATTTTGAGAATATACTGAAAACATGTCTGCTTGAGTCTTTTCTGATTGAGAATTCAGTTTATGTTTAAATCTTCCATCCTGAGTGACTTTAGTGACCAAAATACATCTTGTTGGCAAGATCCTATGATAATTATAAGTAGAAAAATATTTTACGTTCTTTGTCCTTTATTCCATATAATCAGCAAAATGACTACATAAAAAATACCTTTAGTCCTTTCTACTTTTACATGTTTTTTTTTATTCTATAATGACAAATATTCCCACAACGAGGAAGAAAAAAAAAAAACTATTTGACTTTTCCTAGACTGTTCCTAGACTGTTCTTTTCCAAGTTGAGACCTGAGCCTAATTTGGACTTGCCAAGTACAAATGCATAGAACGTCACATCTGTGGACAGATGCCCACCAATTCTCCTGATTTCAAAGATGTTCATGGTTTGTATACTGAGTATCATCCAGAGATACACAAAAAAAGGGAGGGGGAGTAGCAGTGATTTGGCATAGTGATTAAAGACACTATTGGGATGTTTGCATCTCACATTGGAGTGGCTGGGTTCGAGTCCTTGCTCCACTCCTAGTTCCGGCTTCCAGGTAACGTGCACCCTGGGAGGTAACAGGTGATGGCTTAAGTAGTTGAGTTATGGCCAACCATGTGAGAGATGTGGGTTGAGTTCCCAGCTCTGAGCTTCAGTCTGTCTCAGCCTTGGCTGTTGCAAGCATTTGAGTAGTGAACCAACATATGAGAACTCTATCCATCTTTCTGTCTCTCTGCCTTACAGATAAATTAAACAATTTTTTAGATACAAATCCCAGGCCCCAGTCATAACAAATTTTAACAAATACTCCATGTGAGTCTGCTATAGACACTCTTTAAGGTACCCTTGGAGAAACACTATTCTGATAGTCATTTACTCAGGAATGACAGGCCAAGGTCTGCGGCAAAGTCTACTCTCCTATAAGCTCACCCACAGACTGGTATCCCTCCTCACATTTGCTTCTCCATCCAAGAATGCTCTCCTTCCTCCCCCATCTCTTGGATATGAGGAATTAATAAGCTAATACACTGCGTAATCCTCTTTGTTAAACCAACATATTCTGACATATAGATAAATGTTGCTTATTTAAATTCAATTGCATGCTTAGTATGAATAAGAACGAAGTTGGATAAGACTGATCCCTACACCCAAATGAGGATTTCCAAATGGCTCTGCCTTATCTGTTACTGGATGTAAACCCACCGGCCCTCAGTGATGAGCTACATCAGACTAGAACAGTTACCACAGAGAAGCACCATTCTTGAACCAATAAACACATCTAGAAGGAGTGGTATGAGAGTAAAGATTTATCTCTAATTGTTTTCTTCTACGAACGATCTGCATCTTTTTCTTCTTTCTAAGAGATGTTTCTATTTTTCGAGTAAAAACCTAAACAAAGATTCCTCTCGGCACAAGGCATGCCTGGGGAGTCTTCTGTAAACCAGCTGTGACTCTCCTCTGGCTATCAGACACTTTCACTTAGATATTATATCTGAGGCCTCATCTGAGTTGAGGAAAATGAGACTGCCTATGTCAAGAGAGACTCTGCCAGCTGTGCTTGCGAAAGTGCCATTAAGAACTTGCCTAGCGTAAGCTGACGGGGGAGGGGAATGGGGGGAAGAAAGAGGACAAACAGCAACAGCTGAATTCTCTTAAGCTTCATCTAAATGCCAACCATGAAGCCAAGTGCTTTAATGAAGTATTTCTCTTACTCCTCAAGACAGTCCTGAGATGCTGTTTTTTTTTTAACCTTTAAAGATTTTTTTAAAAAAATTTATTTATTTGAAAGGCCGAGTGACACAGAGAGAGGAAGAGACCGAGAGTGAGATCCTCCATCTGCTGGTTCACTGCCCAAATGGTTGCAATAGCTGGGGCTATGCCAGGCGGAAGCCAGAAGCCTGGAGCTTCTTCCAGTTATCCCACCTGTGTACAGAAGCCCAAGCACTTGGGCCATCTTTTTCCTTTTTTTCAGACACATTAATAGGGAGCTGGATCAGAAGTGGAATGGCCAGGACTCAAACCCGTGCCCATATGGGATGCCAGCATTGCAGGCAGCAGCTTAACCTACTACACCAAAACATTGGCCCAAAGATACTGGTTCTTTACAGGTCAGTTTTGTAGATGATGGAAACTGAGACAGAAAGAGTTTATTTAAATTGTCCAAGATCAGAGATTTACCAAGAGCCGAACCAAGATACAAATCACGCACTGCAGGGAGAATTCACTGGACAACAGGTGCTCAGGCATTGTGTTAGCAAACTTTGGGAGAGGGCAGTCCTATCATTCTGGCAACATCAAAACATCCAGCAGAAATGATAGCTGGTCAGAAGCTAGACAATTGTCTCATTCACTGGAGGACCTCTGACAACCTCAGAAATCAGACTGCATTCACGGATGCTGGTCTTTCTCTCTCCAAATCAACTCTTCTTAATTCATGTGCTACTTTGCCTCTGCTTATTGATAATATGCAAAGGAAATTCTAATTTTCCAATAAAACCTGAGAATGAAGGAAGAGAACCTTGTAGCCAGCAGAAAAATATCAGTAAGACGCCTGATTTGGTCCCATTGATTCATATACATTTGGTTGTTACGGAATGAATAGCAATTTTCTACCTGTTAACTAGTGTTACATTATTCTTGCTAGTAAGGCCCAAGAATTCTTAATTACTCAAACTCCTGGGCTAATGAGTGCAATACTTCAAAGAGATAGGTCAGAAATCACAGTAAACCCATATGTTTTATATCAAGTGTAAAAACACAAGGAACATGACCCATTCTGAAGGCTGCTAGATGGATCTAGGCACTCAGCATAGGTCTTGTCACAGAACATCCCAATATATCAATGTGGGAGGTCCAGAAGTACCTATCAAAAAGCTGTAGAGCATGATGTTTTGCATAGTCAAGATGATTATCTCAGGTCATCATTTGATTTTTCCACTTATATTCCAATTCATAGAGACACAGCATATCAGTTACAAAACTTACAACAACTAAATTCAAAATAGCGACAAGGCTACCCATCCAAACACCCTACACTGCATCTGGAGCATTTCAGAGCTTAATAACAGGGGTTGATTATTCACGTTACCTGGTAGGAAGTTCCTTGTAGTGTTTTTCCTTGAAGGGTACATATGTTATTACTCAAAATTTCATTGAGATCTATGAGAAGAGATAAATGTTACATAGAGAAAAGTTATAGAATTTAGAAAGTTCAGGTAGAATTTGATATTTATGTCTATTTAATAGACTAATTAGTTTATTAAGGCATTATGTTGCCTAGATAATAAATAAATATTTTCTTAAGGCTATGCTATATTTTATAAGAAGCACATTAACATAAAATACAAATTTAAGGAAGTAAAACGCAAGAATGCCACTAACCAGCCACATAAAATCTTGTTGGGACTCAGTTTCCTTCTTCATAACAAAGAATAGTATTCCAGAAAAAATAATACTTCTACCTGTAAAATGCTATGATTCTATGCAGTTATCACCTCATCTGTTTTTGTTAAACTAAGATTTCCACCCCTGGCATTTTGAGCTTCATTAGCTTAGGTCTGCTCAGCATGAATTATTTATGTCAAAATGGTTCTATGCATGCTTTAGTAAAAGCTTTGGAATGCAGCATCCTTTTGCTTGCAGCTAAATGAAACCTTTACAAAAGTAGCTGCACTTCCCTTTCAGTCCCTGTAGAAAGGGCTTCATTTATTTAAATCTGAAATATACTGGATGTTCAAAGAGGACAAGACTCAATGGGTCACTGAATCTCTGGATCTTATTTCCCAGGTGAGGATCCTGAGATACACAGAAATCAGCTGACTGTCAGGCCAGTGACTCTTCCTTTCCCTTCACTCCTTTTTCATTGCAGCCACTGCTTCAATTTTCTGCTGTTCCTTATTCTCGTGTTCTGGGAGGAAAGGAGGAACAGAGTAGGTCTACCCTCTATGCATAGTGAAAAGGATCAGGGTGGTTTGTACATAGCAATAAATCATGAGAATGTGCATGAACTACCTTGTGGATCACAAGTATTGGGGTTGTGAATGTACCATCCAGAATAAAATAACAAGACTCTGCCTGCCCTTCAGATGCACATACACACACACAAAATGAGATAGAATAAAAACCAAACTTTACTGCTGATCTGCTTCTAGGTGTTTCTAATTGAGATGCTTCTGCCCATACTAATTTCAAAGCACTATAATCTTAGTAAGAACACTCCTAAAGAATTGGAGGATCTCAAGATTCATTTGTATGAAGCACAGGAACTCTGAGTGTTCTCATTCAGTTCAGAAAGTTTTTCTGTAAATTAAAGGGCACTCCAGAAAATTCATAAAAATGGAATTAAATGCAAAGTTTATTTTAATTAAAAGGTATGAGAGTCATGCATGGTTTACTCATAGTATGTGTTTTTTTCCTATTATATAATTACTTTTAATTTTATTTAAGGTATACAAACTTCATGTATTTCATATATACAAATTTAGGAAATAAAGTGATACTTCCCTCACTACCCTCCCACCTCCCTATGCTTCCACCCTTCTTCCCCCTCCATCTCCTCGTCTCACTATTAAAAGATCTATTTTCAGTTTACTTTATATTCACAAGATTATCCCTAAACTAAATAAAGAGTTCAACAAATAGCATGAAGAAGAAAAACACTGTTTCTCAATAGTAGAGACGAGGGCTATCAACAATCATCAAATCTTGAAATGTTCATTTCACTCCAATACATTTTAGGTACTATACTACTTACCACAGATCAGGGAAAACATATGGAATTTGTCTTTTTAGAAATGGCTTATTTCACGAAGTATAATGGTTTACAGTTGTGTCCATTTTGTTGCAAAAGACATGATTTCATATTTTTTTAACTGCTGAGTAGTATTCCATAGGATATAATACTATAAATTTCTACCAGTCATGAGTTAAAGGGCATTTGGGTTGATTCCATATCTTAGCTATTGTGAATTGAGCAGCAGTGAACATGGGGTACAGATAATTCTTTCATATGCTGATTTCTTTTTGGTAGGGTAAATTCCCATAAGTGGGATGGCTAGATCATAAGGTAGATCTATTTTCAGATTTCTGAGGTATTTCCATAATGTCTTCCACAGTGGTTGCACAAGTTTACAATTCCACCAACAGTGGATTAGGGTACCTTTTTCCCCACACCCTCAAGAGCATCTGTTGTTTGTTGATTTCTATATGACAGCCATTCTGAATGGAGTGAGGTGAAACCTCATCGTGGTTTTGATTTGTATTTCCCTGAGCATTTTTTTCAAGTGTCTGTTGGCCTTTTGAATTTCATCTTTTGAAAAATGCCTATCCAAGTCCTTTGCTCATTTCTTAAATGGATTGTTTGTTTTTCTGTTGTTTAGTTTTCTGAGCTCTTTATAGATTCTAGGTATTAACCCTTTATCAGTTGCATAGTTTGCAAATATTTTCTCCCATTCTATCAGTTGCCTCTTCACTTTGTTGAGTATTTCTTTTGCAGTGCAGAAGTTTCTCAGCTTGATGTAATCCCATTTGTCAAATTTGGCTTTGATTGCCTATGGTTCTGGGGTCTTTTCCAAGAAATCTTTGCCTATGTCAATGTGTTATAGAATTTCTCTAATAATTTGATGGTTTCAGGTAATAAGTTTAGGTCCTTGAGCATTTGGAGTGGATTTGATATAAATTAGGGGCCTTGTTTCATATTTGCACATGCAGAGATCTAAATTTCCCAGCAGCATTTGTTGAAGAGACTATACCTGCTTCAGGGATTGATTTAGTTCCCTTGACAAAGATAAGTTGGTTGTAGATCAACATGGGTTGATTGTTGAAGTTTCTATTCTGTTCCATAGCTCTACAAATCTATTTCTGTGCCAGTACCAAGCTGTTTTGATTATAACTGCCCTGTAGTATGTCTTGAAAACTAACTAGTATTTGTGAAGCCATTGGCTTTGTTTTTGTTGCATAAGATTGCTTTAGCTATTTGGAGTTTCTTGTGTTTCCATACCAATTTCAGCATCATTTTTTCTATATATGAGAGGAATGTCCTTGGTATTTTGATTGGTATCTCATAGAATCTGTAAATTGCTTTTGGCAGTATGGACATTTTGACGATATTGATTCTACCAATCCATGAACATGGAAGATTTTTCCATTGTCTGTGTATACAAAGGCTATTGATTTTTGTATATTGATTTTATATCCTGCCACTTAATCAAACTCTTTTATCAGTTTCAATGGTCTCTTGGTGGAGTCTGTTGTTTCTGGTATATATGGAATCGTGTCATCTGCAAATACAGATATATGATATCCTCCTTCCCAATTTGTATCCCTTTGATTTCTTGTTCTTGCCTAATGGCTCTGGCTAAAACTTCTAGTATATTGAATAGCAATGGTGAAGAGTGGGCATCCTAGTTGGGTTCCAGTTCTTATAGGGAATGCTTCAAATTTTTCCCATTCAATAAAATGGTGGCTGTGGGTTTGTCATAAATTACCATGATTGTGTTGAGGAATGTTCCTTCTATATCCAATTTGCATAAGGTTTTCATCATGAAACGATGTTGTATTTTATCAAATGCTTTCTCTGCATCTATTGCAATAATTATGTGCTTTTTGTTATTCAGTTTATTAATGTGATGTATCACATTATTGATTTTTGAATGCTGATGCACCCTGCATACCCAGGATAAATCCCTCTGGGTCTGGGTGAATGATCTTTCTGATGTGCTGTTGGATTTGATTAGCTATTATGTTGTCGAAGATTTTTGCATCTATGTAGATAAGGGATATTGGTCTATAGTTCTCTTTCTCTGTTATGTCTTTTTCTGGTTTAGGAATTAAGGTGATTCAGGCTTCCTAGAAGGAGTTTGGGAATATTCTTTCCCTTTACATTGTACTGAATAGCTTTGGAAGAATTGGAATTAGCTCTTTTTTAAATGTCTGGTAGAATTCAGCAGCGAAGCTACCTGGTCCTGAGCTTTTGTTTGTTCAAGGGTCTTAATTACTTATTCAATCTCCATTTGTCCCTTTCCCTTTCAGTTTGCATGTATCTTTGTTGATGAGGTGTGTTTCTTGCAGGCAGAAAATAGATGGGTCTTTTTTTAAACCACTTTGCCAGTCTGTATCTTTTAATTGGAGAATTTAAGTCATTTATATTCAAGGTTATTATTGATAAGTACTGACTTTGCCCTACCATTTTTCTTTAAATATTCCTATTGTTTGCTTTGGATTTCCTTTGTATTTTACTGGGAGATTTTCTGTCTTCACATTCTTTCATCTTTCTGTGATTTATATCTTTCGGTGATTATGTGTGTAGATGTGTAAGCAAATTTTGTAAGGCTGGACAAGTTCTGACAAATTCTTTCAATTTCTGTTTGCTATGGAAGGTCTTTATTTTACCTTCATTCATAAATGAGAGATTTGGAGGGTACAGTATTCTGGGTCGAGTTTTTTTTCTCTTAAGAGTTGGACTATGTCACTCCATTCTTTCCCAGCCTGTAAGGTTTTTGATGAGACATCAGCTATGAGTCTAATCGGATATCCTCTGAAAGTAATCTGGTGTTTCTCTTATATACATTTTAAAATCTTTTCTTTATATTTTATGGTTGAATGTCAACTACAATGTGTCATGGTGAAGATCTTTTCTGATCATGTCTATTAGTAGATCTATGAGCACTGTGTACTTGAATGTCCATTTCTTAGGGAGGTTTTTGTAATTATTTCAATAAAAAAGGCCTTATAATACATTCTCTCTTTCCATACCTTCAGGAGCTCCTAAGACCCCTACATTGGGTCATTTGATAGTTTACCAGAAATTTCCAACACTGTTTTCATTTTTTCTAATTTCTTCTTATTTCTTTGGTCTAACTGAAAAATTTCCAATGATTTGTCTTCTAGCTCAGATACTTTTTCTTCTGTCTTACGAAGTCTGTTTTTAAGTCTTTCCACTGTATCTTTTATTTGACATGTTCAATTATTCATTTCTAATATTTCATTTTGATATCTCTCCAAAATCTCAATTTCATGGGATAATTTTTCACCCATATTGTGCATGGATTTCTTTAATGGATTTGTTTCTGAGTAATCCTATGATTGCTATAATTACTGAGCAATCCTATGATTAATCTTAAATTCTGTTTCAGGCATTTCATCAATTTCTTCAACTTCACATTCTAATGCTGAAATGTTCTTTTGTCCCTTTGGGGACATCATGTTGTCTTCCTTATTCTTGAATTTCTGCATTTATTTTTGAGCATTTTTGGATGTACTTGTTGTTGTTTTTTTCCCTCTGATGGCTTTTATCTTAGGACTTTGACTCTATGGCTTAGTGGAGTGTCTGCTGTTTCTGTGAATACCCAGAGGCATGTGGTGGGTATGACTAGCAGCTCTGATAAGTGTTTCAGGGTGGCTTGAGTATCCAGTGTGATACCCAAGTTGGGCATGGTATAGTTCTTGTTAGCAGGAAGGAGGGTATGATCAGCTATGTTGGCTTAATCACATCCTCACCTCCTCTCTTCCAAGGTGATCAATGCCCAGGTGTTAGCCCACAGTGGACGCAATACTCAACTGCACTGCTGCATGAACCACACAAAGGATCTGTGCAATCCTCAAGGTTAGCACTGATCCCACTGCAATGAGTCATCTCAGACAACCAGGGGGCTTTGTGCATGTGTAGCCACACACAGTGATTGCCCAGAAACCCAGCTACACCCTGCATACTCTCATGCAGTCAGAGTTACCATTGTCTCACCACACAGGGCTCCCAGTCATGGAGTGCAGAGGATCCACTCTGCCCTGGTAGCCTGTCCCATTCATGAAGAGCCAGAGATGTTTCTGGAGCCAGCTGTCTATGGACGCTCCACCTAGGTTGTTTGATCCCCAGAATCTGTAATACGTTGAGAGGCTGGGGCACCTCATATTAATATGTGGGTACCCAGCACCCTGTCAATCCTTCCAGCCAGACTCAAAGCCATTGGGAAATACAGATTTTTCCCTCTGGTAAAATCTCTGGATCACATGTGTACCCAAAAGCTGCCTGCCACAGCCCTTACTCATTTCACTATGGTACCTTCTCCCTGCTGGTTGCTAGGAGTGCACAAGAGCTTTTGCAGCTGGTATTGATGTCAGAATGGCTCCTTTTCCCAACCCATTGCCGGGTGCATGCACCTGAGTTGCTGCTGCCACTACTGCTCTCAAGATGGCTTCTTACCCCCCCAGTTCCTTGGTGTGTGCTTAAGAGCTGCAGCAACAGCTACTTATGTACAAAATGGTACCCGCCCTCTCTCAGCTGGTTTTTAGTTGCCATTGTGGAGGGATATATATAGAGAAAAATGTGCCCCTTTTTTCCACTGGATTTTCAGGTACCCTGTCCCACTTCGGACCCAGGCCAGAAGCAGTGACAGTGTAGTTCACCAGGCTCTCCCTCCAGCTACATCGCCTGTGACAAGGGCTGCTGCAGTCTGATGTCACCTCTCCAAAGCTGGCACTTTCTCCAGGTCTCGGCTGCTGGGGTTGTGTTTTATGTCTGTTCTCACTGCTACACATCTGCACCTTCCACACAGATCTGTGGTGCCCTTCTTCCTTATACAGAGTTTTCATGCAGTTTTTCTAACACTCCCCTGAGAATGTACTTCCTCCACTTTTTGTTTTGTTTTGTTTTCTTTTCTTTTGTTTTTCCCTAAGTTAAAGCAGTACTCACTTTTCCTATTCTGCCATCTTGGAATTCTACATTTTTGTTTTTTACAGATGCAATCTGTTTTAATAGCAGAGATGTAGGTATAGATAATTTTTTTTTCTTAAAAGAAACCAGTCCAGCTCTCTGCTGTGGCCTGGGAATGCAATGGAGGATGGCCCAAGTGCTTGGGCCCCTGCACCCGCATGGGAGACCAGGAGGAAGCACCTGGCTCCTGGCTTCAGATCGGCACAGCGTGCTGGCCGCAATGCGCTGGCCATAATGCGCCAGCTGTGGCAGCCACTTGGGGGGTGAACCAACGGAAAAAGGAAGATCTTTCTCTGTCTCTCTCTCTCTCTCTCACTATCTAACTCTGCCTGTCAAAAAAAAAAAAAAAAAAAGGAACTGGACTAGAAAAACTAAAATATTTAGGCTTTTGGAACCCAACTTGTTCTGATAAATTGTTTTGTGTTAACCAATAGCCACAATCTTGTTGTTGATCTATGTGAATATCTTTATAAATTAAAACATCATCATCCATCAATTTTCACTAAATATAGTCTAGCAAAGATTTTTCATCAGGCTTAAATGCTACTAATATGGGTCATTTAGAAAAACCATTTTTATATTGAAATTGAGGGAAATATCTGTGTGTGTGTGTGTGTGTGTTTGAGTTTGTAACATATTCTTTGGAAGCTGATATCACTCCTACTACTTATATTCCCTAAGTATTTTCTTTTATTGAGACTGTCTTTACAATTTTATCATTAGTGCCCATTAAAATCATGGACTGTGGATGATAGCAATGATGCACTTTCCCATCTTCATCTCAATAAACTCCAGAGATGGCTTGCCTATGCACAGGCACAGTAAACCACTTTTAAGTAATGATGCAATTAACAGCTAAAAAGTAGCATTTGAAAATGAGAGAGAAATATTATGGGTTGATAAGGATGGCACTAATTACTTAGAAATATTCTGAGCCTTCCAAATGGAGCCACTACTCCCATAAAATTTGAGTCAACTTGTAGTTCTGCCTCACTCCCTGAACTATTTCTTTCAATTTATATTGGCACTAACAGCCTTGGTCTCAGGCCATCAAATTTTTCTAGCATGGCATTAATCCCTAGGAAATGTCCTGTGACTCAACTGCTACTGCTAAAATGTCAGCTGAACTTCTTGAATACGAACTCACACATACACACACAGAGAGACATGCCAAACACACATTGTCATTTAAGAAGCTGAGAAATATCAGAGCTGAGAAATATTCTGTAAAGTTGTTCATTTTCCCTTCTCTGACAAAGTACACTTCATCAATCAGAAACACGTCACTTAAGGTCAAGATCCTTTGCTACTTTGTCAGCAAACCTTTAACAGGATTACCTGCTTAAATTAAAACAAACAAAACACAAAGGAATCATTTCATAGAAAGGCAGTTTTAGAAAATAGAAACTATATATATATATATTTTTTTTTTTTTAATTTATTTGACAGGTAGAGTTATGGACAATGAGAGAGAGAGAGACAGAGAGAAAGGTCTTCCTTCTGTTGGTTCACTCCACAAATGGTAGCTACGGCCAGCATTGCGCTGATCCAAAGCCAGGAGCCAGGTGCTTCCTCCTGGTCTCCCATGCGGGTGCAGGGGCCCAAGCACTTGGGCCATCCTCTCCCGGGGCAAAGCAGAGAGCTGGACTGGAAGAGGAGGAACCGGGACTAGAACCCGGCACCCATATGGGATGCTGGCGTCACAGGCGAAGGATTAACCAAGTGAGTCATGGCGCCGGCCCAGAAAATTTAAGGAGGTTTATAGAAAAATTTATAATTAAAAATAATCTACAATACAGTTATACATTATTTATCATAGATCAATATACAATAGTGTTATCGGAGTGATCAGTGATGAATGGAGTCATAGATGGATAGACAGTGGATGAATGAGTGACAGAGCATGTGGACGAATATAGCTGGTATCTATGGATGAAGGCAGTCAAATTAAAACATAACAATTTTAAAACTTTCCCTTTAAGTAAAAGAAAATGTTTCAAATAAGCCTGAAATGTTTCACTTATTTATTACACATAAAATTTTAAATATTTTAAAACCCAATTAAATTATTAATGAAAATTAAAATATTTCAAAAGAAAATGTTTATTTTCATAAATAATAGCTTTTGAAATCTAAGCTTTGTAAAAAAATGTAAAATTTAATCAGAATGTATAATCACACTATTAAATTTAACTATGAAACTATGTTAAAATTTCCTCTGTCCAACAATATCAAAAAATCTTTTTCATTTAAACATTATTGATAAACTCCTAAACTATCAATAACTAATATCATTATTTCTTGTCCCAAGAACCTTGTGGAGAAAACACCAAGCAAATCAGTTTCTCAAGCTGTTGTTCATCTCTGTGAAATCTGAAAACTTTCTGTTTTATTCATTATCTTTTCAAAGTAAGTTTAATTAAGAAGTTATTTATTATTAATAAATTTTTAAGCCTCATTGCTAATTTGCTCTTCCCAGGAATTTTTAAATTATAAAAATAATGCAATTTTGTGTTGATAATAAAATTTATTTCTCCTAAATTATTTTAGTAAATCAAAATATAACAACTATTTATATATTGATGTTACCTTTCCAGGGCTTTTCTATGTGCTGATTTTTATGTATTTTAAAATTCTTTGGCTGGTGCCGCAGCTCACTTGGCTAATCCTCTGCCTGTGGTGCCGGCACCCCAGGTTCTAGTCCCAGTTGGGGCGCCAGATTCTGTCCCGGTTGCTCCTCTTCCAGTCCAGCTCTCTGCTGTGGCCTGGGAGGGCAGTGGAGTATGGCCCAAGTGCTTGGGCCCTGCACCTGCATAGGAGACCAGGAGAAGCACCTGGCTCCTGGCTTCGGATCGGCGCAGTGCCAGCCGTAGCGGCCATTTGGGGGGTGAACCAACGGAAGGAAGACCTTTCTGTCTGTCTCTCTCTCTCTCTCACTGTCTAACTCTGCCTGTCAAAAAAAATTTTTTTGGTCATTAAAGACATTCAAATACTATTTGCTATTGATTCTTCACTTTTTACTTCAACAGGCAACTTAATTATATTTCACTTCCTTTTCGTGTGTGTATGTGTGTGCTTGATTTATTATGATATATTCCATTCTACCTTGTTTTTTCCTTTTTCCTTTTTAAGTAGACCACAATGCCCTGTTTATTTTAAATGGTGAAAGATGTAAATTTTTCTTACCTGCCCTTTAAACTACTTTGAGAAAATGCAGAGTCAGCTAAACTAAATTTAGCAATTACCTTTTAGCTGACAGGGCCTTTTGATGTGGGAATCATTTTCAGGCTTGCTGGGTTCCTGCCAGATTATGTCATTCACAGTTTTTCCTTCTAAAGTAAAGCAGAGGATTGGTTAGCATAATTCACAGCTACATTTAAAATCAAAACAAATTCAGCACCTGATTGCAACTTGGTAAATGAGATTTTACGAGTGCTCTGTGGCCTGTTCTGGGGAATTCTGGTCCCTGATGGCCAATCCCTAACGGCCTATGCACTAACATAAGCACCTGTGCATACATGGTAGCATGCTGTCACCAAATGTCTTCTGATAAATTATGATTACACTATTCTTGGGAGTTTTCTTGAATTCGTTATCATTTATTTTATGCATAAATTAACGTGTCTCCGTCTTCCCAACTTCAATCATTTTTAAGGCAATCTTAGAGGGAATATTGAGCTGTGGTAGCTCTAAGAAACTGTTAAGATTCTTGAATGAAAGGACTCTAATTTGCCTTGGCCTCCCAACAGTTAGAGTATTAGGGCCTGGACATGTGAAGAAATGACTGCATTAAAAGAAAAATTGGAATCCTTCCTAATCTGCTTATCAATGATTAATCATTCTACATGTTGTACATCCATAACGCAGATTTGAAACAGGGCAGACAAAGTGTAGCACGGAGAGAAGCTCCAGTTTCTGTATTAAAGTCCCTATTTTCTCTTGTGTATTGACTATGGAACAGGCAGTTGGTTCTCAAAAATTGCTAGGATAGAAGCATTCGTGGTCATATATGCACAAATGGAAAAGACTGCTATCAGAATAGATCTAGATGGAAAAGATAAATTTGCCCTACTTCCTTTTATTTAAGAATATGCATTATTCAAATCAGGCCTGTTATTCAAAATAGTTGATATTTAGGGCTCTCAGGACCCTGAATAAGGAGATAGGAGTCAGCCTCTGGAGATGCCATTGTCAAAGGGATATCAACCTGAATAAAACACGATCTCCTTAGAAGATGTATTCATTGTGCATTATCATCTTGGTCATAATGAGGTCTTTAGATCCTACTTGGAAATTGGTTTTGAAAAGAGAAAAAAAAAATGAGCTCTCCTAATCTCTGTTGAAGAAAAGCAAAGGAGAAAGTATACACACAAATTTGACCACTGAATAAAACAATGAATTATTGACTATAATACAAAAGTTTTGCCACCGTGAATGCTTGGTAATTACTGATTCCCTATAGTATGTAAAAGAAAGAGAAAGATAACCCATTAACTTTCTAAATATTATTAATAGAATTAAAATGATACAAACTACTTGCCTTTATTTTTGCTATATTATAACCACTGAAGAGCAAATCTGCTGTGTACAATGCTAAGAAAGAGTCTTTCAAAATAAAACCATTTTCTGTTTCTTTTTTAATGACATCCACATTCATAGATCTGAAAAAAATCTCTAAAAGGCCACCTTGCCATGGACCAGCTAAGCTACATGTGGAAAGCTAGAAGATAATCAGCCAATAAGCCAGCAAAGAGAACTATTCTTTTTAAATAAAAGAGGAAATTATTTTAAATATATTAATGATTTCTTTGTCTTGGCCATTTAAAATTAAAATGGAGGCACATTTCTGTTTAAAATTTCTTTTATAGGGGTCAGTGCTGTGGTCTAGCTGATTAAGCCACTGTTTGCAGCACCAGCATCCCATAGGGGCGCCAGTTAGGGTCTCAACTGCTCAACTTTGATGTGTCTGGGAAAGCAGCGAAGGATGACCTTAGTGCTTGAGCCACTGAGCCCATGTAAAAGACCCAGAAGAAGCAGCTGGCTTTAGCCTAGACCAGCCCCGGCCCACTCTGTCTCTCCTTCTCTTGCTGTAACTCTGACATCAAATAAATAAATACATCTCTTTTATTTTTTAATTGCTCTATAGAATTCAAAGATAATGCAACATGACATTCATTAATCAACTGTGGTTGCTATATGGTGGTAACAGAAGAAAGGAACTTTTAAAAAGGATGTATTTATTTATTTGAAAGATGGACAGGCAGAGAGAATGCTGGATCAGCAGAGGAATACATCCTGCATCATTCCCAAATATCTGCAATAGCCAGGGCTGGACCAGGCTGAAGCCAGGTGCCAGGAACTCCATCTCCTATGTGGGTTTCCCACATGGGTGTCAGGAACTCAAGCTCTTGGGTTACCATCTGCTGCCTCCCAGGTGCACCAGCAGGCGGCTGGATCAGATCAGAAGCAGAGCAACCAGGACTCGAACCTGGCACTCCAACATGGGATGAGGGAACTCCAAGTGGCAGCCCAATCTCCTGCCTGGAAAAGAACTTTTAGGAAATAATGCATCATTTACTCAAGAAATCTTATGAATAACTTACCAAATATTTTATTTTCAGAACTACATCTTCGGAATGACCTAGAAGAACAAAATAGAAAGAGATATTTAAGTCCAGATTTAATAAGATAGATTATAATCAAGCAGAAATTAAAATGTGTGCAAAGCCTTTGAGAGCAGGAATAAATTCTACGTCAAACTAAGGTCACCCCATGGTCTTGAATTACCTGATCTTATGTGGTAAACTACAGCTAACACAATTACAACCTTGGTCTGGAAATTTCCATATGGAAAAATGAATATTCATAGAACCTGAAAATGAAAAGAGTAGGCATTTCTAGCTGAATATATCTCAAAATAACCAAAGTATTAGTGGGGGCAAGTTCTTTTCCAAACCCAGTCATTCCTTGCTTTTGTCAGGGGATTGGTTCAGGGAACTCCCTCTCGCCCAACTTGAAAATCTGATAGCAATGGAGTCCTTTATACAAATGGCAGAGTATTTGCATATAACCTATGCACATCCTTCTGCATGTTTTAAACCAAAGCTAGCTTATTTATAATACCTGAAAATGCTGTACAAAGTTATACTATATTTAGCGAATAATGACAACACAAAAATCTGCAAGTGCTCAGTACAGACACAGTATGTTTTCAAATATGTTTGATCGATGGTTGGTTGAATCCATAGATACTGAACTGTGGATACAGAGGGGAATAGTAATTCTGTTTAATAAATAAATAATGATACAAGTTAATACAGCTCTTACATAGTCTCTAATAAAACAATAGAAAGAAATAATCACCAATTACTGTAGAGCTTTTAGTTGAAAGTTATGTGGTCAACTTTATTCTGGATGAATCACTATGATACCACTGGAACCTACTGAGCAATATCACTGTCAGAAAAATAGGGGTTCGCAGACATGTGGATTACAGTGCGATGTAACAGGGAGTATGCTATCGCTTAAGACCTACTTTTAAAAGTATACATAAAGCTTCAATCCTGAAACTCGTTTTAGCTAAAAATTTTCAGAAAATAAAGTACAGAAGAATCTGACTTTTAGAAATATTAGAATGATTCAATCGGCTTAATTAAAAATTATAGGAAATTCCTAAGGACACGTAACCCAGTTTCTTTTACAAATAAATGGAGAAACTTATAAATTAGGAGACATGAACTGAATGCATTGCATAGAACTTGTTTGGCTCCTGATTCAGACATCCCAACTCTAAAAAAGCACTTCAGGCTATCTGAGATATTTTAACCCTGTCTATTTGCCAGTATTATGCCATTTCTCTTCTTTTGTTCTAGTACAATAGAGATATTGTTGTTATGCTTTAAAAAACACAGGTCTTTTTTTATAATGATATTTGCTGCAGCATGAAATTATGTGCCTGAAATTTGCTTTATAAAAACCAAACCCAGTGGTGGTGAGGGTGCAAGAAGTAGAATGGCTAGAGATGAAATCAGATTAGCTATAGATGGATACTCAGGCTTGGCAATGTGAGTTCATCATCATTTCTTCTTTGCAATAAGGACTGAAAATGTCCATAATGGAATGTGTAAAACTCAAACAGAGGATGAGACTATGCATGCCTGACCTGGTGAATCTGTGAATCAGTTCAGCAGTGGGGTTACACACATAGGCTGTACATATTAACTTACTTTGTTATGTTAGCTTATGTCTTTGCCACTATGGATATACAATTGTCATGAAAGTAAAGCTAATTCCCTTTTTTTTATAAGGTCAGAGTTTTAAGCAGAAACCTGCATATATAAATTTGCTTTTTCTCTTAGCCATTTTTGTTTTTTAACATAAATAACAGCTTCATTTAATAGAATGTTTCTCTTTAATTTAAAAGCTTATAAAATAATTAAATTATATGAAATTATAACTCTGAGATAATTTTAAGTAAAATAAACTTGCAAAATAGGACCTTTGTTTAAAAATCCCTACATATGCTTATTTGTACAAAATTCTAAGCATATAACAAGACTCTTCTCCTCTCCCAAATAAGCTGTTTATAACAAAAAGGTGAGGTAGGTAATTAACAATGTGAAATGCTATTCCCCTCGGTAGAGTTGTGAACAAAAAAAGCTGAAGAATTCAAAGGAGTCTTCAGTTTTATTTTAAGCAGTTGAGATCCTGAGAGCACCTCAATTGATTTGGTTCCTTTTGGAAATCCCACCAGCATGAAGCACTCTCCCTTTAATTCATTCTCCTTCTTCCCCTCCATATTTTGGGGATCCTCAGATCTGTGGAAATACCAGGTAACCCAATGCTTGCAAGTTCACTATAGTATTTGACTTGGAAGAGGTGTATTATTTATCCTTGCACAGAATAAACATCTACATAGGTGGATTGATAAGATTGAGACCAGCCCTGCCAAAATCCCTTCTTTATTCAAACTCATGCTTAAAGTGTTATAGTTTAAGCAGTTAAATTTGTCTAGAATACAACTACCATTGCCTGGTAGGCAACCTAGGCCATTAATCACCCAATTACCTACTTAAAATGGAAGGCTTTTATTTCCTTAGTGGGGTAAAAGCTTTGAGGTGGACAGGTAGGAAAGAATAAGAAAGCAGAAAGCAAAGATTGTTCAGAGAGAGGACAACGTGAGAGATTTTCACATAGTTGACAATTTGGTTTCAGACCAGTCTAGGGTATAAGGAAGCCATTCTTCTGTATCACCAGCAAGCAATCTGGAAATTTCCCCCCACAAACCAACGTCCTGCCCCTATGATTTCCTGCTTACAGCTTAAAATTCCATTAACTTAAGCAACATGTGCATGTCACGTCCTCTGGTAGCTACACGTGCTGACTGTAAAGCCAGGCCTGACCTGACTAACCCACACCTCCCCGCGAACATTTTTATTTGGATTTGAGACTTCAGAAGATTAATAGGTTCTGCTAGGAACGAGGCTCCCCTTTTAATCTGAGCCTAGTTTAAACACATTTCTTCTTCTTCTGAAAATTTAATTTTTGCATCCTTGGGTAAACAAATGTCACAACACAGGTTTCCAATGCATCAGCATAAACAGGAAAATGTCACAGGGTAATACACAACGAGGTTTGTACATAGCAGTTTTTTTTTTTTAACCCTCTGGCAGGACGCTTGCCACAATATGCATGTTCAACATTATAAAACTAAGAGAACATGAAGTTTACTGGGTAAATTTGACTTACTTTCTCCTGTTCGGTTTTGCATTCTCGAAATTAGAAGTTTCCTGTAAAATAAAATAATGTGAAATTAAGTAAAGCTAAACCAAGAAATCAAAATGAGAATTCAAGCAGAGTTATTCTTAGCATTTAACCCAAGGGAAGTGCATTTGCCTTTTTCCTAGTGAAAAGAATAGGGGTTTCCCCCATGTGGTTCTATTAATGTATCACAGCATCTTAACGCAAGTCTTTTGTTTATTTCTCCTTTTGTGTATAACTTTGAGAAAGTTAAGATGTGTCCTTTTAAAAATAGGTTTTATGCCTTATTCGAAGCCCTTGACAGTTTTATTTTTTAAAAAGTCTTTTGAACAAAATATTTGCAATTAAATCCTTACAACTTCAACTTTCTATTCCCCATCAATCCACCAAAAACCAAAGGAGAACTACACATCAGAGCATTTAATTATATCATATAATACTTTCTTTTCCAAAAGATGGAAAATAGTTGTTAAGTTGAAATGTGTCTGTGATTCATCTGACTTTTTTTTTTTTGAGAGGAGGGGGAAGAGAGAGAGAGAGAGAGAGAGACTGAATGTTGTATAAAATCCCATAGACTTTTGGGAAAAGAATATGCCACATCTTTCACCATCCTTGAAAAAGCTTAAACCGCCCAAGGCACTTTTTTTAAGGATTTATTTATTTGAAAGGCAGAATGAAAGAGAATAGAAAAGATAGCAAGAGATCATCCATCTTCTGATTCAATCCCCAAATGCCTGCAATCGGCAGAGCTGGGTCAGGTAGAGGACAGGAGCCAAGAACTCAAACAAAATCTCCTGTGTGGATGACACCATTATCTGCTGCCTCCCAGGAGCATTAGCAGGAAGCTGGATTGGGAGTGTTGAGTAGCTGGACTCATATAAGCACTCTGATGTGAAATGTAGGCATAGCCCACTGCACCACAATGCCCACACCACCTTGGTATCTTTAAAAATCCTTTAGATTCTCTCTTTATCTGCTCCTTTATTTAAAAGACACTTCCTGAACAGCTACTACATGATAAACAATGGATCATGTTCTGGAAGGATTTAACTGAAACGGTAGGAATGTGAATACAATACATGCTCAAGGAGGAAAACTTGAAATCTGTTTTCTTAGTTGTTGGATGAGCTTTACCAAAACCTATTAACACTGGAAAAAATCAGTCCTTGAACTTGAGAAACAAGTTCTGCCAAGTTTGAAATGTCTGTGAATCACCCAGAGGAAATTATCTGAGTGTGGGAGAGGGATAAAGATGTGGGAGTAAGAACCAAGTCTTGGGACAAGCACTGTGGCACGTTCACACCCTGCCACCCAAGTAGGGGACCAAGATGGAGTTACAGACATCTGGCTTTGTCCTGGCCCAGTACCAGCTGTTGTGCCATTTGGGGAATGAACCAGTGGTTGGAAAAAGATTCTCTCTCTCTCCCTTTGTAACTTGCCTTTCAAAGAAATAAGTCTTAAACAAATGAAAACCAAGCCCTGAGGTGACCAGCAAACAGGCCTTCAAGCAATTTATGATCAGACTGACCACTCCTTCAATCCTCCATACTTTGTCTATCCAATGTCTTTTGATGAAATTACCAATGTCTTGATCCAGATATCTTCAAACCTCATCCCAGGCTATTTTCCTCACACTGTCATTTAACTAGCTTTGTGTTGGTCATCAAGACAGAGCATGGCTGTCCACCTTTTGTTTTTCCTATTTTATGTATTTAGAATCTTCTAGAAAGGCAAAAACTTCAGGGTCCCACAACCTGTGCATTCTGAGAAAATTATGTCCCAATAGTTACAACCTGTTATCCTGAGTCTCATTAATTTGTAATAAGGGTTTAGATAAACTTGCCAAGATTACAGTTATTGGATTCTTCAAAATAGATTCTCTCTCTTGTGAGAACAGAGAGAAGGGGTCCAGTCTAGAGTTAGTCCATAATAAAAGTAGATTTTCAAGAAGCTAGATAGGAAACATTAGATACCCTTTGTATTTTTATCATTTGGATCATAGCACTTTAAAACGTTATTTATTTTATTTATTTGATAGATAGAGGGTTTGGGAGCTCCTATCTGCTGGTTCACTTCACAAATGACTGAGAGTTGTGAAGTCAAACCAGGTCTTCCACATGGGTAGGAGGAATCCATCACTAGAGAGCTGAGCTGACTTGAACTTGAGTTCTCAGATACAGAATGTGGGCGCCCAATGTGCATCTAAACCACTGTACCAAATATTCACCCTCTACTCACAGTATGTTTCAGTCAACTTCTCAATATCTCATTATCTTTGCTATGTTATCAAACAGATGAGCTCCAAATGGTTCACAAGATATATGTGCACTAACGGAGTTATGGAATTACTGAGAGAACGTGCCATTTAAGCAGTCTCCTGCTTCAAACTTGGGCAAAACTTCGTTAATGCTTATAGACTGATGTTAGTCCCACAGAGCAAGTTAAATACTTGTGACTGCTGATTGTGGTGAAAGGGACACAGTTAGCTTCTGCACTGAGGTTAAAAAACACCTGCACTAAGACCACAGATAGAGATTAGTTATTTTTAGGACATATCACAGCATTCTCTAAGAACTATCTACTTTGTTCTGATTTATTGGAATCAGGATAATCTAATTGTTTGCTGTCATGAATCAGTTTAAATTCAGGGTCTTTTGTTAAAAATTTTTTTCTTATAATGAACATTTTAGAAAATTTTTTGAGCTGAAACTGCCTTTTTAGCCCCTGCAATGGTGAAAGAGTTAATGTAGTTCTCCTTAGGCAATCTACTTCCTACAAATTTAGGGAGAGTCAAGCACATTAAATGTGGGTCTGAAGTGTGATTATACCAGGAAAAGGGATTACTTAAACAGGGCAACATAGACTTAATTAGAATCACAGGTCTGTTCCCTGGGTGTTGCCTAGTTGTAGATTGCCACTGAACTGGTTAAGCAATTTTTAGTACTGCTTGTACCAGTCTCAAAACAGCTGTGGAAAATATAAACTGCTTTCATTTCTGATTTCTGCTTACATAAGCAGACCGTCACATACTTGGAGTTTAGACTTTGGGTTCTTCATTCCTAGAGGGGAAAGTCAAAGAAAGACTACATACAGCTTCATTTTTAGAACTACAGCTGTGTGTGTGTGTGTGTGTGTGTGAGAGAGAGAGAGAGAAAGAGAGAGAGAGAGAGATTCTGAACTCTAAAAGGAAGGTACTTCTTCAGAGAGTCAGCAAAATCATTCTGTCTAGTCCACTAATTTGACATTTGCTATAAATACCAGGTAAAATTTACTCCTAAAATTTATTTCATTATCCCCTAAATAAGTGCTAATCATCGGTCTTACCTTCCATTCACTAGGGAATCTGTGACTTAATTTAATTTTTATGACTGGCATTTGTTAAGAAAATTAAAGAATGAAATGTAGGCAAGCAACTATGCACTGGCTGCTAGAAACTTAAGAATCTGTCCACTGTGTGTTATTTTTAAGGTGAATGAAAGTAGGCTCCAGGAGCAAAGTATTTCTACATAACTATGAATCTAGGTCAAATAAAAGTACATGTAAATGAAGAGAAGACGCCACTTAAAGAAGAGATGCATCTTAGACATCAAATGCCGCATTTCTATTTTCATGTGCTGGGTACAGATGACTGTCCTTTGGGGTTGAGGCTCATGTGTGCGTGTTTCTTGCAGTATTGGTTTTTAAATCACTCAAATCACAAAGTCAAAAGAAAAAGGAAGTGAATATGTTAGGAGTTGTTGTTGCCTGGCTAATGGAAATGTGGAAGTTGTTTCTTCACCAGAGAAAAATGACTGACTGTAATTGATGGTGTAAATCCCATGGTGAGTTTTTAACACTGTGGAATTAACGCGATCTACCTTTGATTTGCAATTGCATAAACTGAGGCTCAAAATGATAACTGACTTATGTATTGTCATGCATTATAATGCTTTATTTTATTAAATATACATTGCTTTTTTGCTCTAATATATTCCTTTGGAATTATACAATTCATTCATTCCTACTTTTACAATTAATTAAAAATAATTATTGAGCATCTACTATATAATCAGACACTGTTATAAGGCAGAAAAGATTTCTTCTCTTACCCATTATACAAGGTTCAAGGTTGAAACTCCTAAACAAAGCCAGATTAACAAGAGAAAAGCATATAAATGTACTTAATAAAAATTTTATGTGGCACAAGAGCCTTCAGAAATGAAGACCCAATGACCTAGGAAAAATTGTGTATTTTTATGAACTGTTGTGCAGACGAATGATTGGAGCACAAGAGGCTATGACCTCGTGGTCATAAACTGGGAGGAATTTAACCGGGTTTTTTGTTCAGATTCTTCTTGACCTCTCTGTGTGACATTCCTTTCCTCCAGGTACAAGGCAGGATACTTGTCACCTGAGGGTCTTCAAGAGATCAGGGGAGAAGTTCAGAGAGTGACCTCCTTGGGTTTTATGGCCTGCTACAGGGATGAAGGACCAAGGGTATTTTTTAATTATTAACCTGTAATACATACGCATGTTATAGGATACAGCATGACATTTCAACACATATAAAGCATAATTTGATCAAATGTGGCAATTAGCCTTTCTATTTGTTCAATTTTTCTTTAGGCTTGGAGACTACTAGTTCCCTTCTTCCAGCTCATTTTACATTTTATAATATATTGTTGTGGATGGCAGTTAGAACACGGGAAATTCTAATGCCTATGGTTTGCTTCTGGAGAGCAAAAGGCAAAGGGAGTTCCAGTTTCCTGCTCCTCCCACAGCAGGAAAGAGGAGGCAGAAGAACAGAGCCAACTTCCTCATTCTGTGTGGTTTTTTTCTCAGTTTCTTTCAGCCTAAGAAACTCAGCATGTCAAGGTTCCATATTCTGAGGTAGGGTTCCCTGCACATTTTCAGGTACAAAGAAACTCAAGCAGTCTTTCAATTTTCTGATTCCAGAGTCCTATTGGATTTATTAACTTTGAAATGTAAATGAGCTAACCTTCATAAAATCCTTACCTGGTGCCAAATACATTAAAGATCCTTATGGATG